GACTGGGGATCAAGCCCACAACCCGGGCATGTGCCCTGACCGGGAATCGAACCCCGATCACCTGGATCCTAGGTTGACGCTCAACCGCTGAGCCACACCCGGCCAAGGCAGAAGGTCTTTTTAATGAGTGGCACATTAAAACCCCTGCTCTTCACCTTGGGATTGTGAATGCCGACTGACCTTGCACTCTCCCACTCCAATCGAAAGATATGCATCCTGAGCTCCAACACTTGTCATCTTTGGGCCCCTTTCCAAAGAGCTCCTGTTTCATTGAGAATTACCTTTTACAAAGCACTCTGATCCTTTGCCCTTCATTAGCAAGGGGCTCAACCTCTCTCCCTTAATTTTCTTACTTGTTAAGCGGGGAAATAATTTCTTCCTCTTAGGGATGTGTGGAGATCAAATGAGATAATGTGACTAAAAGCATTAAGGTTCAGTATGTGTTGAACAAAATTTACTTCCCTTCCCTACCCCCACACATGACATTCTTTCTCCATAGCATTCACTGGGGAAAGAATGGCCAGGGGTTATTTTTCAAAACCTATAGGTATATATTCCCCCAACCTGGAAGCAGCCTGGTGCCACTTGGACTCTGAGAGAATGGAACTGACCTAGAAAAGTTACTGAAATTGCACTGGATAGTTCCTTCAGAGGGAGATCTTTGTAAGTGATGGGCCCTTGAGGCCTTCCAGGAAAATCTAACTTTAGGCAGACACAAGTTCCCTCATCTCAACAGGCTCCTCTGGGCCCTGCCTTCTCTGGGATCCTCAGCTCCAGAGGACCACAGACTTCAACTTTTTGTTTTATCCAAGAGACAAGGTGCTTTCAGATTCAGGGAAAAAGAATTGAGTCAGAGGTGGTGTAGGAGTCTGGGAGGGGGCAGGGCACAACTCAACAAGGTGTTATTAGAACCATTTTATGCTAAGGAAACTGAGGCTCAGAGAAATTAAATGGTTTGCCCAAGTCCACACCGCATGCAAGGGATGGAGTCAGACTCAGAATCCAAGTCTGCTTGACATCAGTCCCCAAGCACTGAACTACTGTGAGGTACTGAATATACTGCCCCTGTGACCCACAGCTTAGGGGCAGAGGGTCTTTGGTCCCAGGCCTCACTTTTAGGAAACTCTCAAATTTAAATTTTATTTACTTACTTAAAATATGTTTTTATTGATTTCAGAGAGAGGAAGGGAGAGGGAGAGAGAGAGACAGAAACATCTGTGAGAGAGTGTCACTGATTGGCTGCCTCCTCCATGCCCCGATGGAGCCCGCAGCCCTGGCCTGTGCTCTGACCAGAACCGCGACCTCCAGGTTCTCGTGTCAACACTCAATAACTGAGCCTTGCTGGCCCGGCTCAAATTTAAACTTTCGATTTTATCCATAAACAAGTAGTCTAGACCCAAAGACAGTCTTACCTTGGTTTTATGTATTATTTTTCTCTTACAATTATTTTGTGAGTAACACAATTATATTGCAGTGCCTTTTGTGTTAAAAGTATCAATTTGCTAAATGCATGTAAAACATACCACTGTTTTAGGTTTTTCTTTTTCATTTTTAAAATATGACGGCAGCTTAAAACAAAACAAAACAAAACGGTAATGGCTAAGCCCTCTGCCGACTTTATAAAAGGCCCACCTCATGCCCGGCGGGCGCGGCTCAGCGGTTGAGGGGCAGCCTAGGATCCAGGGGATCGCCGTTGGATTCCTGCTCCTGGCACGTGCCCGGGTTGCGGCTCGATCCCCAGCAGGGGGCGTGCAGGAGGCAGTTGATCAACGATGACTCATTGATGTTTCTCTCTCCCTCTCCCTTCCTCTCTCTGAAATCAATAAAGATATACTGATTAAATAAATGGCCCACCTCAGCCTTGGACAGGGGTCCAGGGACCTTTCCTCCCCGCCCAGTGACCCTCCCCACTCCAAGCCCCCGGAGGACCCCGCCTATTGGATCCCGAGAAAGTCCCTTAGAAAACTTGGCGCAGCCGGCGTCACCACCTGCTTACCCAAAGCAGTGACGTCCTTTCCTCGCTGCGTCGAGTTAACCTTACTAAACCAGGCACAGGGCGGGCTCCTCTTCTCGGCGCTGGCACCCACGTGAGCTGGGTGCTGGTCCCCACAGTCGCGCCGGTTGATAGGACATTTGCAGTCAAACGCCTACACCAGGCGCTGCGATTGGGCCTGGAAGGGCGTGCGTGTAACCCGCAGACCGGGCCTTAGCGATGCTCGCGGGGCCAGTGACCTGGTGCCAGGAGGAAAAGCCGAGGAGGAAGGCGCGCTCAGGGGCCTGCAGGGCTGCGGGGGTCGAGCTTCCCACTGCAGCGCTCAAGGTCTCGGGCGGACTGTGGAGCGGTCGTATCGGAAACCGTGTGCGAGTTTGGCGCTTACAAATCCTCACTAACGGTCAGTTTTCTCCTGTAAAACAGGGATGTTGATCCCCCAAGAGCATTGTGAAAAATACCCACAAAGACTGTCCTTGTGGAAGTCAAGTAAAAATGTGTGAAAGTTTATATGAAATGCCCAGAATAAACAAATCTGTAGAAGTAGGGCCAGGGAGGGGCCCAATGGGAAGTGACTGCTAATGGATTAGGAATTTGTTACCAGGGGTGATGAAAATATTCTAAAATTAGATCGTGGTGGTGCTAATATACAAAAAGCCTTTGAATTGTACTTTTCAAATAGGTGAGTTATGTCATACATGAGCTCTCTCAATAAAACCGTTTTTAAATGGGTGAAAGTCCTTTGTAACTTCACTAAAAATTTGGGTGCCCTACATATCGCAAAATCTCCCCATCTGTTATCCGATTTTGCCCTCCAGCCCATCCTTCGAGGTGATCAGCGTTTTAGAAAGACACACACATAACTGCAGGGCAGGACAGTGGGAAAGACCCTAGAAGATCTCAAGAAGAGACTGAAGAAGGTTTCAGGAGGCGATTGCAAGGATGATACAATCTGGACAAACAGAGGCACAATGTTGGAAAAGCACAGGACATATATCATGGTAATAATTAGAGCAGTCTGGCTCTAGCATAGAGTATTTGAGGAAGAGCTTTTGAAAATGTCTGTTTGGGTAAGATTGTGCTACGTAAAATGAACATGATGTTTATAGCTTGATGGACTGGATAGGGACAATCCAACTCTGATTTTTTTTTCTTTTTTTTAATCCTCATCAGAGGATATTTTTTCCATTGCTTTTCAGAGAGTGGGGCAGGGGAGAGAGAGAGAGAGAGAAACATTGATGTGAGAGAGACCCATCAGTTAGTTGCCTCTCGCATGTGCCCTGCCCTTACTGGGGCCGGGGATCAAGCCTATAACTGAGGGTATGTGCCCTTGACCGGAATCGAACCCAAGACCCTTCAGTCCGAGGTCCAACATTCTAACCACTGAGCGAAACCGGCTAGGGCAAAAAATGAATCATTTTTCCCCATTAGAAATAATGTAAATTGGATTAATCCGTTCCAGACCCCCAAATGCTGCCGTTTTAACCTTTCTTATGTATAGTACACATCTAATGTACTGATTAACCTATAAATAAACACTGTAAAAACAGAAAGGACATGAAATGTAGATGAAAACAACAAAAAGGGAATGAAATGTACAGTAAACAACGAAAATTTACGTACACACTAGAGCTTACCTTTAATGCTGGGAGCTCTGGATGCCTGACTGTGGAGAGGGGGGAGGG